GCGGGCGGGGACGTCAGCCCACCCTTGTGCTCCTCAGGCCCTGACCGGCTCCAGCCCCTCGGCGAGGACCAGATGTGCTCCTGAGCCTGGCCAGACCCCGCCACAACATGTTCAACCCTGTCAGCGCCCCAGCCACCGGCTACGCTGAGCACTGCTGCCTGCGCCCACCCCACGGACCAGCCCGGGGTGCCCCAGGGCCACAAGGTCGGTCGTAGCCCCCTCGTCCTGGTCAGTGCCTGGGCCTGAGCAGTGACTGGCATGGGCACGAGGGGCACCCGACTTCAGATTCAGTTCTTGAGTTTAGGGATGCTCTGGGGATTTCCTCTCCCTCTTGTGCCACCCACCCTAATACATCTTCCCGTCTTTCTTCTCCTCTCTGCCAGGACTTGATTTCCCCTTACGCCATCAGTCAAACCTCATGAGCAGTCACTGTGGGTATGGGTTGGTGCCAGGAACCGACCACCCAGGCAGTGGTGATGGTAAGTCTCTAGTCTTGGGAAGGCGTGGGGCAGGTGGGGCTTCTACAAGGGGTTTAGGCATCTACTGGGGATTGTGTTGATTGTGTCAGGAGTGCAGGTGTGTGTGCTGAGGTGGCCGGGCAGTGCTGGGGACAGTGATGCCTGTGATCAGGGAGGAGGCTGCTGGGGCTTCCGATAGCTTTCCTGGAACAGTGGTGCCTGTGTGAACAGGAGGATTTGTGTTGGCTGTGGCCAAGGGGATCAGGCGCTTTTCTTGGGACGGTATCAGCTGTAGCAGGGAGTATGTGTGTATCAAGGGTTTCAGGTACCCCCTAGGAACATTGATGGCTGTAGTAGGGAGGGGGTCACTTTTGAGCCTTGCCACAGTCCAAAGCCAGCAACAATTGGGAGAGCAGTGGCTGGGGAGCAGCCCTGTGGAAACGGATCTGCGGTTGCTGGCTGGCAGCAGGCTCGAGAAGAGCCAGCAGTGTGCCGGGGCGGCCAAGGTGGTGGGGAGCAACAAACAAGCCAGTCGAAAGACGTGATTATCCCACCCTGTTCAGTGTTGGTGTGGCCTCACCTTGAGTGCTGTGGGCAGTTCTGGGCCCCACCATTTAAGAAGGATACTTGAGTGTGTCCAGAGGAGGGCAACAAAGCTGGTGAAAGGACTGGAAGGCATGTCCTGTGAGGAAGCAGCTAAGGTTTTTGGGTATGTCTAGTTTGGAGGAGGGGAGGCTGCGGAGCCACCTCATTGCTCTCTAGAGCTTCCCGAGGAGGGGTTGTGGAGAGGGACGTGCTGATCTCTTCTCCCTGGTATCCAGTGATAGGACGTGTGGGAATGGTTCGAAGCTGTGCCGAGGAGGTGAAGACTGGACATTAGGAAGCATTTCTTTACCGAGAGAGTGGTCAAACACTCTCGGAAACGACTTTC